TTTGGCCTCTATGTTAGGCTATGTTATACCTTATTACAATTTCTGAAATTACATTTTTGCTGCCAACTTCTGTCAAAAATAGCCCACACTGGGTCTGATTTTCCTAAGCAACCACTTACTAAATTGTAGGCCTGTGTCTTATATCATCCACCTCTCCATACTTTGTGTTTGTCGGCCTCTTCAGGGCGCCGTGTTTCTGCTGGCCTTAATAGAAGTGATTGTGTCGTCGCTCCTTTGATCGGCAGTTTAACCACAGGGGATTGGCTGATAACAATATACCGGGAGCGGTGACGCAGCAGTGATTGAATGTTTTAAAAAAGTTTGAAACTCTGCTCAGTATATGGTGAAATGTGAGCGTCAGTCGTGGCACTAGACATTAAACAATTTACATGATGGATCTAAGCAATAAGAAGCGAGCGCGCGCAAGGGGAGGACGGCGCCGCGTGACTGGTAGCCGGGCTGTTTGACAGCTTGAGTCCCGCCTCAGACATCAGAGGGAAATAGTGTGGAGAATTGATAAAGATTTACAGGGTCAGTGGAAACGGTGAGACACTGTGCGGTTGCCAGCCCCCCCCCCCATCTCTTCTAATTTAGGCCCACAACACAGCCGACAGTTCTTTCATTATTAGCCTATTCACAACACCAGATAAAGTTGGTTTCCTTGGTTTGCCGTTCTCTAACATGTGATTCTTTTGGTTTAAATATGGTTTACTGTTGTTTAACGGATATGTTAGGTATTACGTTCCCGAACATTTTTTTCCATTAATACGAATAATTCCTGTTTAAATGCATACATAGTCTCATTTTGTTGTGTTAAGAATTGTATTAGTTATTAGTTTAACTGGTGTTACATGGTTTAACTGATCGCACCACACAAGTCCATTGGGCTGCTTTAATTGTCACCTGGTATTACTTATTAGTATTCCATTAATATTTAACACTGTTCAGTCAGCCCTAGGTACCTGAACTGCTTCATTCAAATTGTTTTCAAATATGGGTGCAAAACCTTACTAAAGCTACGAAGTTCAGTGGCATTAATAAAGAGCTCTGGTGTTGTTAATAATAAGAGGATTAAAGTTTTGGTTAGTTTCATCATGATAAATATAAGGTGATTGGTAGAACTTTTTGATTAGGAGTTTTGGTTTCATGCTTGCGCAGTGATTCACGTGCATGTTATCGGTGTGTTTTTCAGTGTAGCAGGGTCCCAATAAACAATTTTGTTAATATTGGTATTTCACTAATTGCCTTCGCAGATACTAATCGCCAGTAGCCCTTGACAGCATAGCCTATCTTATATTTAATCTGTATTCTTTAGATAAATTCTTTATTAGTTAGTTTAGATTAGGTGTTTTTGCCTTATATGTTTAAATAATTCCATGAAAGATTTATCTGTTTGGGGTTAATGCGAAAGCCCTAGCGTCTGGTTTGATTTGATTTGCAGGCATTTCTCCAATAAAAACAGAGTTGAGCACAAATACTGTGTGTGTGTGTGTGTGTGTGTGTGTGTGTGTGTGTGTGTGTGTGTGTGTGTGTGTGTGTGTGGGAATGTTTGCATCCACAACACTTTTTCACTCACACCCATCCTGCCAGGGAAATACAAGGGCGGGGGACGGACAAAGATTTTCTTGTACCCAAGGACGCATATCACCACAGGCTGTGTGTCCTTGTCCATTTACTTCTCGGTTAATGTGAGCACCCACGGATATTTTTCTGGCTACTTATCCTTTATTTAAACCTTTTTTACGCACACGATGGCCGTGCGTAAAAGTGACAAAATAAACCTACAGTGATATAAAACGTGTCCTTTCCAAAAATGCAGCAATAAAAGCCACCAGGGAAGGAATACGAATTCACTCCACCACAAGATTGTCATATAGTCTTTCATCTGTGATCCAGAAGGAGAGTGAACACCAGTCAGATCAGTTACACACCTTCAAAAATCACGCAAACAACAGGAAAAAAACATTTGTTGTTCATCAGCCTTTCATTGACTGCATTATTCATGTACTCCACAAGGCCATATTAAAATTTAGGAAGGTGGAACCTCATGATAAATCCAGAAAGCAGTCTTTACACAGCCTTAATGTTTCATAACCCGCTCCGAATTCTCTCTTTTCATTTCACCTCTGTTAAAGTTTGTATGTTACACAGGCTACAGCCACTGTACGGACGCAAGCCACTCTGTGAACCACATCAGCAATCATCAACAAGTCGGCTGTGTGCCTGTGCGCCATCATTACGCACGCACTAAAACGCACACACACATTTATTGATGCACAACTGCGGGCGAGCACTCACGCGTAGCATCTCACTCAATATGTGACGCCACCTTAGTCTAGCGGTCCGGACCAGCCGTAACAACGAATCTCAAATATCTTAAATACACCGGAGCTTCGCGGCACTCAGCAAGCGCGTTAATACAGCGGCACTACAGAGTGAGTGAGTGACATGGTAATTACATACTGCTCGCTCTCTCTCTCCCTTTACCACCCGCCACCCCTCCCCTCTCTACTTAGCCCCCACTTACAGGCAGCCTTCAAACATTACTTACTGTGCGTCCTGGCTCTTTCTCTCTACCGGGGTTTCCCAGCGTCCAGAGCGGCAGAGACCGGAGCTCAACGGGCTCCGCGTGTGAACCGGAGCAGGAACAGCGGCCGGTAGTACTGGCCTGCTCTCTCTCTCACACACACACTCCCTCCCTCTCCCGCTCTGTCTCTACTTTACTGACCCCTTTAGGATCCCCGCGAAGCCGTTAAACCGTCACTTGCTTTCTAGAATGTGAAATATATAGTACATTGTCAACTCCCCAAAACCATAAAACTAACTTTATGGACCCCACGTGACCAGACGAGAGCCAGTGAGAGGTACCAGTCTGAGGCCTGGCCTGAGCTTTACGATCCAACTTGGAGATAAAAACCCTCATCCGTTTGACATGTAAATGTCAAAGCTGCCTTCTTTTTTATAGTTTGCCCCAAAGCAGAAGGGGGTTAGCTTTGAAAAAAAAAAATATCTCAACACTCATACACACACACACACAGGAGGCAGGAGATAGCGGTTGTGTCCAGATGAGGCTCGGAGCAGGACCTCGTTTCCCCTCCATCAGATCAGAAATAGAACCGTGTATGAGCAGGGGATTTGCAGCAGCATCAGTCGGTGAGTTTAAAAGTGCAGTTGGTTGTTTACAGTTGGAAACCGGGAGACAGTAACCTAATTTGGCCGGGAGTGGCCTCCGTTAGAACGGAAAGGGAGGCTGTTTAGAGAAAAGTGACCAATTTGTCCACTGCAGACAGTTTGTTGTCTTGTCAGACTTGGTCAGCAGAGATGAAAATTGGCCTGTGTGCGTCTGTTCTGTGTGTGTTTTATGCGGCGTGTTTAGTGATTAATGAGCATGCAGTTGTGAGGCTGCGAAGTTCCAGGAGGTTGTCGCCTTGAAAATGTGGCGCTCAGGGTTAAAGTGAGGCCTGGAAAACAGACTGGAGGCCTCCGGGCGGGCTTTTGGTGCGATGCGTCTTTACGCACGACGCAGTTCCGTTTTTCCAACCTAACTGTTTTGGTACAACTGAAAACTGACAGCTGTTTAAGCTCATGTCATTCGATCATCGTAAATGTGCACAGGAAAATGTAGAAAGCGGTGGAGGACGAAAATGTACAAAAATAGGCCTATGTACATTTTCTAAAACAATTGGACTGGGCTAGATATTCTTGACATCAAGTCATAGCACGATATATGCCTATATGAAACACAATACAACAAGAATACTGGCAAGTAGCGCAGATATCCCCTATTGATTTGAACCAGTTTTGAGCCGCGCTGCTCCAGCACAACCTCAAGACTTCTAAAACTTTTCGCCAGTGTAAATGACATGGTTTCCAACACAAGTTAAGCAATTTGCGCGACGTAAACAGCTGATTACGTCTGTCTGGTTTATTGTTACTTTACTTTATTGTTGTTGTTTTTTTTACTCCAAGTTACAAACAAATACAAAAAGCTCATTGGCAGAAAGCTCACAGGCCTCACAGGACGGTAGCCATTTCCCTTACATGCGCACACACACGCTCTCATACGCCACACATACGTAAGCACGCACACACTCTCACACACTGCAACTACAAATAGACAACTGGTCACATTTAAAAATGTCAATATATATCTATATACATCCTTTCTGAAACATGGATCCAATAATTACAATAATAATAATAATAATATACAGTTACACTTTTGAATAATAGAGCTATACACAACATTATGGGTGGATACGGAGATGTAGGCAGGGCTGGTTTGTTTTTAGACAGACACAAACGTACACACACACACACACACACACACACAGACCTTCCCTGCTTCCTCAATAAAAATAGGAGCAGATTTGAATGGCAAGTAACAGACAGAGAGAGGGGAAGGGGGGCTCAAACTGGCTATACACGCATTATCGGCTGTAAATAACTTACATGCTAACTTCTCTAGAAAGCACATCGTCAATTACAAAACATGGCACTTGACACATTAAACGATATTTAGACATTAAACAACAGGTAGCCTAGGTAGCAAAGTTGTAAGGTAGGACGTAGGTAGAAACGTAGTTAGAGTTAGGTAGCATTATTCATCCTGCCCTCCTCTCCTCCGGACAGCTTTTATAAAAACGACGACATCATACAGGAACACTAAGATTTTTTTTTTCTTACAAGAGCAAGTACCATAGTCATTTTTTTTACGTTGCCCTAAAACACCAAAGACCAACATGCCGAACAAATAAAAAGTGCTGCGCTGCTGTACAGTACTCAGTTGACGATAGGAAGTGTTTTTAAAATCTAGATTTGGAATCTGTTTGTTATACACATGTTTCTTCATCGCCGTCTCCTTTTGCTTCATGTTCTGTTGGCTTCTTCTGTTTGTTTTTTTTATTACTTCATTTTTTTCTACTTTTTGTCTCTTTCTCCTCACGAGAAGCCTGCACTGCACACCTTTCCAAAGAGATGGACTGATGATTTTTTTTTAACTGGGTAATGATAATAATTTCTAGGGTTGAAAGGCGCTGCCGGCGGTGGCCAGGCCCATGCCTTTCAGTTTGTTGTCCTTCTTCCACTTCATCCTCCGGTTCTGGAACCAGATCTTGATCTGTCGCTCCGTGAGGCAGAGCGCGTGCGCGATTTCGATCCGTCGCCGCCGCGTGAGGTACCGGTTGAAGTGGAACTCCTTCTCCAGCTCGAGAGTCTGGTAGCGCGTGTAAGCCGTCCGCGCCCGTTTCCCGTCCGGGCCCGTCATATCTGAGGGTTTGGAGCGAACAAAAGGCTATTAGGGGGCACGTGTGATTGCACCAACATATGACATAAACGAGTGATCATTTAGAAATGCACACAAACTGTGGGTGGACAAAATACCATGGACACCTTACCATACACTATAGTAGGCTACAGCTTCTTGACATAACATTATTATTCACAAAGACAGTGCTTTCTACATACTTGCTGCAGTGATTCTGTACTGTAGCTACAGGTGATATTATTGTGTCCACCCCTATACCCCCACATAGGCCTGCACACAATACAAGGGGCTGATTTCACCCGTAGTTTTATCAGAATAAACTGTGCGTAAAGACAAAACAACAGCGGGCACATCTACCTCTTTTTGACAGAAGTCTTCCTTGACACATTTTATATCTGCCGTTTCCACTCAGCAGCCTGTGCTAAAGGATTTGCTTTTATTTGTCACATTACTGTTTTTTTTTAACCACCCTCCTGTCCCCCCTTTTCACTCCCTTCAGGGTTTTATTGCCCCGTCCTCTGCCTCACCTCCCTAATAAAGTTCCCACACGTAATAAAGCTTCACTTTTCAAAGGAGCAGCAGCCTCCAAAGCCTTCCTGGCCTCTCGTTCTTTTTTCTTTCCCCACCCGGCTATGTCTGCGCTCCTCAGCCTGTTGGGCTTTGCTGCCCGGTTTGCCTCTCCCCTGACAGATTTATGACGCTTTTGTGGAATTTGCTAAAATAAAAAAAAGAGGGAGAAAAGAAAGAGGGGGCAACCATCCGGCATCCCTAGCTTCAACAGGAGGGAAATGCAAAACGAACTGCACCCTGATGCACAGACAAAACACGCGAATACATAGCTTCAGCTGTGTAATCAGAGGGTGACCAACTGTCATGTGTAATTACTTTCTGATTTCAAAATAAGTACAAATAATACAAATATATCCATATAAGTCTTTATCTGCATGGAAGCAAGGCGCAAAATAAAAACAGATATGGCCTACGTTGTGCGTTACTGGGAGGTTCAAACACCTCGCTGACTGATTTCTGACAGTCATGTGAAAATATTAAATTGCTGGGAAAGGGCTTAGAGGAGTGCGGACTAAAACAAGGAACTGTGGCTAGATGTGTGTCTTTCAGCTATTGCCTAATAAGTCTGCTGAATCTTTAGAGTGTACAAAGAAGCATAGAGCACTGCGACTCCCCATGTAGTTTTAACAAGCACTAAACTGTCACCAGCCCCATGTGTCCAAACATATAGGCTCCAAATCTATTGAGCCAGCATTATGAATATGACTCTTCTGAAACTTCTATGATACAGAGCTAATAAGCTGTAAACACAAGCGCAGCATATACCATGGCTAATGTGTAGCTTTCTCATCCAGGGGAATATTTGTGGTGACTGAGCCTCGCTGCCCGTCGTGCTGCCAGCGGCTGATCCCGCCGGGCCGCTCTCCTGCTTCTGCACGGGTTGCGGGTGCCCGTTCCTGGGCGGCTGGTTGCTGCCGTCCCGGTTGTGCTGCATCTCCTCGGTCTCTGGCGAGGCGTCCTCCAGTTCCGTGAAGCGCTGCGCCATGCTGCCGCCGCCGCCACCTCCGCCGGAGGAGGTGGAAGATAGGTTTGGAGAGCTGAGATTACCTCTTCCTGGTTGCTCCGATCGGGGAGACGAGCTCTGGGCGCCTAGCTTGGTGTCTACACTACTAGGTGACAGGAGGGAGTCTGCTGCAGAGGCGAGGGAGCAGCTTGAAGGCTGTCTGAAGCCCCTCTCCGGGGCCGGGGAGCCGAAGCCCAGGGAGTCCCCGGCTACCGAGCTGCCCCCGAAGTGTCCTCCGGTATTGGTGGCGCCGCTGCTTCCCCCTCCACGGTTAGTGACGGTTAGGTCCATGCCATTGTAAGTGTAGCCGTAAGAGCCCGTCGCATGGTGCATGGTGGCGGAGGAAGAGTCCCTGTACGTCCCGCCGTTCATTGCGCCGCTGCTGGCTCCATAATTTAGCAGTTGATAGTCGGGGCCATTTGGGTAGCGCCCCGAGAACGAGTTTACAAAGTAAGAGCTCATTTAGGTTGTTTTAGAGAGTTGCGGGCTTAGTTGAGTACTAAGGGGCGCTTGATTTGTTAGATTTCTCTTGGTCGTTATAACGCGGGTACTTTCAACGATTTATGATGTATTAGTGAATTATGGCGTTGCACTGTACTTCGTTTTTAGCTATGTATGCGCCGTCCAAATATGGGGGTGGGGTAGTGTGCGTGTGAGTGTGTTGGATTGAGGGGTGTGTGTGTGTGTGTGTGTGTGTGATGGGGGAGGTGAGGGGTGAGGTGAGGGAGGAGAGAGAGAGACAGAGAGAAGGTGGGGGTGCGGTCACGTGCTTTTGTTGACCAGTCGTAAATTCTCGCCGATGACTTTGGAGAGGTAATTCATGCTCTGAGGTTTCTAATGATGAAGGGGTGGGCGGGGGAAGCTCTCTCTCTTTCTCTTTCTCTCTCTCTCTCTCTCACACACACACACACACACACACACTTTATTCTGCTGCTAGAAGCGCCGGGGGTGAGCTCAGAGCGCCACCTACCGCAGACATAATTTATTGCACTAATAAATAAAAGACTGAAAGAGAACGAGAGAGAGAAAGAAGACAAAAAATAGTCTTGAAGATCTGTTCTAAAATATAATCTCTCCCTCCCTCGCTCTCTCCATGTGAGTGTGTGTGTGTGTGTGTCTCATCACTCGGGCCTGTTAATTGACCTTTGCTTGCGCTGGAAATTAGGAGTCAGTGATCATAAACCCTAATAAATAGCCCGTTAATAACTGAATATTTTACACGGCAGACAAAACAATAACAGTCTACCGATGCTGCCTTCAGCCTCAACACGTTCTCATCCCAGGGCGTCAAATCCATCTTCCATTCAGACTTTAGCTTTTCCGTCCGCAATTAGGCCTACATGGAAAAATAGAACTTCATAATACTGCTACTACTACTAGCTTACTACTAGGCTACTACTGCTACAACTGTTAATATAATAATAATAATAATAATAATAATAATAATGATGATGATGATGATGATGATGATGCACAAAACAATTAAAATAACAACATCAATCATGTTTCATTATGCACTTCTGTAGCACCATAACAGCTGTCAGAAGATACAGTGATGCAATCAAGTCCTCCTAAATTGCTACAATTACAGAGCCAAAGGACAGAAGAGGGTCTCTGCTGAAGTGTTTTTAATATTTTTTCACCTTAAACACAAGGAGTGGCCTCATCAGCCAAGTTCAATACAATGACTATTTATTGTTAATACTGCAGTGTTCCCTCTTTGCATATGCATCCTCTCCACTGAAGACATTTTGCGGTTAATGTGCATTCAGATGTTGCCTGTCTTTAGTAATCTAGGCAGGGTGTTGACAATAAACAAAAAGCATAACTTTAACCAAAATAACTAACTCACACAAACACACAGTCACACACACACATATTCAAATAAACAGGGTGTGAAACCACAACATGGTGAAAGTCAGATGTGGCCTACAACAATGTTTCTTTCTTTCTTTCTTTCTTTCTTTCTTTCTTTCTGTCCATCTGTCTGTCTCTCTCCCTCACTCTCTCCCCTCCCTCCTTCTTGCTCCCTGCAGCCTCCCTTCCAGCTGCAGAGGAGGAATGTTAAACCTGATCTGTGAAGTCCACACTGGATGGAAATCTGCTGATTTATGATTTGTTGATTCCCGGGGTTGGGATGCATTTCAGCCAGGGTGCTTGTGTGAGTCTGGGTGTGTGTGTGTGTGGCTGGGTGCATGTGTTTCGTTGCAACTCTGACACACACGTATGCACATAGGCTAGAACATGGGACAGATGAAGAATTCCAGATTTTTGTGTGTGAAATGATACAAATGAATGCACTCTGTGGGGGAGTGTGTGTGTGTTTTAATGTGCTCCTGCATGTGTGTGCAGTTTCAGGCCACATTTCAGCTGCTCTCACACTGAGCGCTGGCAGCAGAAACCAGCAGTTGGAATGGAAATCATCTTGAGTATTCTCAAGCAACCAGGCAGAATAAAACAACGGCAACAGGCAAAAACAGGGTCTAAAATGCACAGAACAGACATCAGATGAATATTTTAGCCACAAATACTAAATCAGCAAACTGCTGGCCTGAACGACAGCAGAGGGGCTAAGAAGCACAGAACCCCAAGTGTGCCAGGAATGGCCTGTGATGGTGGACGTGGAGGAGGCACTGACCCAGTTGGCACACACTTCTGAACACACTCCCCTCGGTATATATAGATTTCCACCATCACACTGAATATTTGTACAGTGAAACAGCTCGCCACAGTGTCAGATAAGAGGGGTCACGGGCTGTTCATATCGGTTTTCAGCATAAAATAAAAAATGTAATTCCCGTGCTGGATATCCAACGGGAGCCACCCATTCTGATTCAGTTTCTGCACAGACTCTTTGTGGATTAAAACGTCCACTAAACGGCACATATTCTTTCATCTATGTGAGCACAATTCATCCTAATCTATAGAGCACTGGAATCCTCAATTCAAGCTGCACACAGATGTTAGAATGAAAATTCTCCTGTTTTGGATGTTTTTATAGGCCACATTTTAACCTCAGTTTAATTGTTACAGATCTTTTCTATGGTCTAATGAAACTGTTTCAAACTCTTACTGAATCAGCTCAGAATGGCAGTGTTAAACAAAGCAGGGTTTAAAACTTTATATTTGGAGGAGTTTAAGTGAACAATATAAAGCATAGACAAAATAAAGATCCATAACAGTCTCATGAAAAACACCAAACACGTGTGTGCAGTTGCAGTGTGTTGGTAAAATGAGCCCTCTGGGTCACAGTGAAACCATTTCCACTGTGTTTAACATAGACCATCTGGCACGGTCAGAGCCAAAGAAGAAGCCTATACAAAAACACTACAAGTCAGATCAAGCTCTTTGTCTTGACACAGCCAAATAATATTCACTGAGATCATTGCTGTTGAGTCTAAATCTCTTTTTGTCTCTGGATATTGAATTTAATCTTGCTGCAAAACAACAGTGATTATCAAAGAGAAGTGCACTGAATTAAATGATATTAAATCTAAACTTACTACCTCTCTCACACAGACTGCAGAAAATATTTTATTTCCTCAGTGTGGTATTATTTTTTAACTGACAGCCCATGCCATCTATTATCTTGTCCTAAAACTAAAACATAATATGATTACTCCAACTCACTGTAGTCAGGACAACAAGAGGAATCACGATCATTGAGATGGAAGTTTACAGCAGATGCGAGTTTCCCCAATATGCACAATAATAACAGTTACATTACAGTTACTTTGTCATGCCACGTAACGGCGTGGTTTCTGTCTACGCATGTGCTGATGCTAATATTGTTATTGTACGTGTTGATGCTGTTTTATGTTTCAACACTGCTGATCATTTGCGAGAGATAAGCTAATGTACAAACAATAGTTTTTGTGTTCACTCGCGTGCATCACAGAAAACCTACGCCGCTGCTGCAGAGCGATAGAACCAGCGCGCCGGTCACTCAGGGGACACGCAGAGTTCAAAGGGTCACGAGGACATTGTCCACTTTGTCTGCGTGAAGTGTGTGTGTATATGTGTGACGTGTCTGGAAGGCCGGCTCGAAGACAGGTCAACTTTCTCTACCTCGGTGTGGTCATCAATTAGTTTAGACCGCCACCAACAGCATGCTCGCGCCCCTTGTCACATCCCCTCCTGACCGCCGCGTGCGCTTACTTCAGACTAGTCCTCCAGAGCCTTAAATATGTGCACGCATGTTACAAGTAAGAGGGTAACAGGTTTATGATTCTTTACCCGCCGGTGTAAGTAGGCCACTAAATCATATCATAAAACTGTTCATTTAACAAAAAAGAGCCTCTCTCAGGACACTTCTTTACATTTTATTGAACATTTCTCATAGGTAGTATACGTAATTACTTGACAAAAACATTAACATAAACAAACAATGTAAAAATCCATAAAATATACACTTTCCTGAACGGTTTTAGGTAGTTTGGAGAATAACATCATCAGTAGGCGAACAACCCCTCCCACGCGCCCCTCTATATTGGAAAAGTAAAAACTGGAAAGGTTAAATTACCCTCACCCCCACTTACATTATTTTCACCGTGCAAGGTGACCCACCCCCCTCCCGCTCCCCTTTGCTTATTTCTATACAGTTTAAATATGAACACCATAAGACATACATACACTTCTCCAAGTGCTCTCCTCCCCACATTGTGGTGTGTGTGAGCGCTTTCAATTGAAGTTATAATGCACACAACACGTTTACAAAATCAGGAAAAAAAATACATCGGGGGGAGAACAGCCCGGAGTCGAGTCCTAAAGCTTCAGAACAAGTGCCTGCCAGACAGGAAGTACATTTGACAAAAATAAAAACTACGATTTTAGGTGGTTTCTTGGAATGCAACAAGAAATTGGGTCTTTAAACAGTTTGTGGCCGTTGGGTGGCGCGTTACTTATTTCTTTTAAGCCTACACGTTGGATGCCACCACCATCTAGCCTATTAAGTGTATATGTTTTTTCCACAGTCAAACTGTTCTCTCTCAAGAGTCTTTTACAAATTATTTCTTAATTTTCAGACCAGACAAAAAGGCAAACAGCCTATAGAAACATTTGGATTTTTGGTGGGTGGCGATATTCGAGGGATCAAAAAGAGTCTTCTTCTCCCTCTTTTTTCTCTAGTAGGCTACATGTTTAACTTCTGCTCCTGTAAAAAATAAAAATAAAAAATAAAATGTAGGCTACTTTTTCCCAGCGTTTTCAGACCAGGCAAACGCCTGGACGAACTTTGAGACGGGGAGGGGAAGGGATTAACAAGCATGTCTTTTCTTTCATCCTCCTCTTCCTCTTTTCTGTGTCTTACATCAGTTTGTTTCTCCTCTTTCACTCTGCCCGTTTCTCCTCTTCCTCTGCACCGTTCGCTGTGGAGGACGAGGAGGAGGACGAGGAGGACGTCGAGGAAGAAGAGGAGTTGATCAGCTTGTTCTCCTTCTTCCACTTCATCCTCCGGTTCTGGAACCAGATCTTGATCTGTCGCTCCGTGAGGCAGAGCGCGTGCGCGATTTCGATCCGTCGCCGCCGCGTGAGGTACCGGTTGAAGTGGAACTCCTTCTCCAGCTCGAGAGTCTGGTAGCGCGTGTACGTCTGTCGCCCCCGCCTCCCGGGGCTGCCGAATGTCCCTGAGAG